CCCCCCCCCCCCCCCTAGTGTCCGTCACTGCCTCAGGTATTGGGCTGATAGCCCCCAAAAGATTTCCAATTGACTGCAAGGGTATAAGGTGGAATTCTTCTTGTGGACAGAGCAAAACACTTACAGCCTGCTTAAACGAGCCAGCCCGAGTCATTGCGTTTGTATGGCAAATTTTCCAGCCTGGGCACCCTTAAACCAGCCAAGCTTGGGTACCCGGGCTGGCTCGCCTCATATCTCATAAGGGCATTTGATGTTTTAATCTGATCATGCAGCCAAACACATTTTCAATTACACAGTACAACTCAAGTTGTAAGCACGTTGCATGCAACAGTTTTAATCCAGGTTTCCATATATGGTTGCAACAGTCATAAAGGTTAAGTTACGATCTTTCTCATCGGCCAGATTATAATAGTTTTTACCTGTAAACCACATTTAAATCATACATATTCTCCATATATTATCACTCTGCCTATTTTCAGTTGTATTTCGGGTGTTGAGAAAGATCGTCACTCAATCGTTACGACCATATGGAAACCAGGCTTTGGGAACAAATAATGCATCATCCAAAAAGTTTAGTTATACACTTGACTTTAGTTAGCTTAATTCACATAAAAATTGGGAGACCTTTATTGGACGTCTATTGATTGTGCATTCTTAGCGGGATAGAAACAGCGGGATAGAAACAAAGCAAAAAACAAGAGGTAAAATCTCATTGCAACATGCTTAATTGTTTACTTCTAAAACTTGTATCAAATTCCTATGCGTAGCTGCGAGTGATCTGAATTGACCAGTTGCGAGCCGCGAGTGGATCTATAATCTGATGCGAGGTGCGAGTAAATTTAACCAAAGCCATCACGCCGTCACAAAACGTTAAATATGTATTTTAGTCTAGAAGAAATTTGATATGAAGAACATTCCATCATTGGATATTTGATTTGATTTAATTTATCTTTAATATTTAATATTCAAAATTACTCTGAGAGATGGCTAGAAATGCACTTTCAGGGCTTGTAAAATAGAACTTCCATCAAATGGCCCTCTATAAAGCGTCCCCCCTCTACCAAGCACCCTGCCGTAAACGTGTAAGAATTTTTTTGAAGTTTTTAAAACAAAAATTACTTGCTTAAAACATCACTCTGTATGTTCATTGTAGATTTGTAGTTCCACAACCACTCGTCTAACAGAATTGAAGTCACGTGACCTTTTAGTGCAAGTTGCCAATTGTTAGTTATTTAATGTGTAAATTTCTATTACATTACATATTACATTACATTACATTACATTACATTACATTACATTACATTACATATCACAGGAAATTAATGAGTTTTTGAATGTAAAAACTGAACTCTTACCATTATTCATTATTATAGATTTCCATATGGTGAGTTGGTAAAAACCATGAGGTTTAATATTTACCATTAATGGTCCTTTTTTTCCCTGTGCACAGGAAAATACCATTTAAATACCATTTGGTTTAAAAAGTTTCCTGCTGCAATGTTATAGTTTTCACTTGTTTCCATGTACCAAACTGATGTTACGTCATTTGATCAGTTTCTAAACTTGTTTCTTTTTGGATTTTTAAAATTAATTTGGTTAGGGTTAGGGTTAGAGTTACGGTTAGGATTTAGAGTAGGGGTATGGTTTGTTACATAGCCATTTAACAAGTGCTGACCCAGTTTTATTAGTTCTAATTCTCTCTTACCTCTGCCCAGTAGACGGCGAACATTTTAACTTTGATTCAAATGCTAACCCATATAACAGGTGGGAAATTTGTCTGAGCATGCGCGAGTAAAATGAGCCACGCAATTGCGTGGAATACACGCAACGCGTGTTTACAAAAAGGCACAATCGTGTAAATATTGCCAAATGTTTGTACAAAATAAATGACCGTTTTATGTTGAAAGAGTGGACATGATCTAAATTAATCATACAATTTTTTAGTGACGTTCTATTTCAGTACCCTGCCATTGTCTCTGGCGGGCTGTCCGTGTGCATTCGATCTGAAACAGTTGCTACTTTGCTGTCGAAGAATTTCGAATGTTTACATGAAAATAGAGGCAAATCATGCATTTTACAACCTCTCAAACTGTATGAGCCCCTATTTTTACGCTTATACCTAAGATATCAAATAAAAATACATGAAACAGAGAACATTTGTAGAAAGTTTTATCGTGAGGCCACGGCCAGTTTTTAAAATATCTTTATTTCTGTTCCGGTCATCACCAAAATTACACAAAAGCCGGGCTTGAATATACAACAAATTTTGAATCTCATCAAGCACAAAAATATTTAACGTGTAACCAAAATATGCTCATTAAATCGAAATTAATAGCTAAATTTTCAAACTAGACCCTTCTCGAAGCGGTTTTCATGAAGGAAGTTCACATTTCGGCCTTTGATTCTTGGCAAAAATTTGACCACAACACGTGCGAAGCAACTGGGTCTCAAAGACTGAACTAAAACATTGTGAGCCCCTTATTTTCCTGACGATATGTTTGATACCTACAAACGCCGAAATGTTTTTTCTTTTCATTTAGCTATATTTGAAATTGAGGCCACGGGCTATTTTTGAGAAAATACAGTTCAAAGTCAAGCTATTTTTTCATCTTTTCAAAATTTGTCAAATTTCGCGAGCTTGTATTTTGAACTTAGACAGCTGAAGTTACATTAAGAAACATAGGATGGAAAATTTGAGGCATATAAAGTTAATTTCAACTTACATTTCATTCTCAAATCACGTCTTTCTTCGTTTATTACGGTTTTAAACAAGCCATAGATCGAGGTATACGGTATTAACTCCCATGTTCACGTCGCCATATTAACTTCTTCCAATCACTCGATTACAAAACAATCATCCCAAAACAAAGAATTCATGATCGACTTTTAAAAGAATAACCAATAATTTGTAAATCGTTGAATGGAAAGCAAAAAATCGTCAGCTAAAACAGCTTCTTGCTAACTTTCTGCTTTGTTTTGAATGTAAATGCAATGAGCTTTGTTTCTGCCCGCAATTTTTTGGTCAGCGACGACAAATTTCCCACCTGTTAACCCATATAGAACTCAGGTAATTGTATTGTATGGAAT